AAGCTGTCTATAATTGCAAAATAATTGAGTATGCTGATAGAGTATAATGTGATGTTTGATCTAAGTATACTTTACAGGCAGGTTCAGTGAAGCTAATTACACTCATCGCTTTAAAAACTTAATCTTTTTTGGGCCGGGGATTTAGCTCAGTGGTTTTGCCACCTGTTGTGCAAGCGCAAGGACCCGAGTTTGATCCCCGGTACCAAAAAAAACCAAAACAATAAAAACTTAATCTTTTTTTGTGGTGGACAAGGTTAAAAGTCTGTACTTTCAGCAGTTCTGGATTAGATTATTAACTGATCATCATGCAGTGTAGTATAGTAGATCACTATAAAACTTATTCCTTCAGTCTGATTGAAAGTTTGTACCCCTTGATCAGTGTCCTTTTTCCTGTTCTTTCACCTGGGTCCTGGCTTTTGGTAAGCTCCCTTCCTCTGTTCTGAGATTGACTTTTGTAGATTCCACATATAAATGAGATCATAATGCTATGTCTTTTTGTGCCTGGTTAGTTCACTTAGCATAATTAACACATAACTCTTTTATGTGTTTTGATCTGTTACTGCTACTATTCTTATTACTATTCAGAGTGTCCTTGCTTTGGCCAGAGGAGCCCTCTTCAAGGACCTGGAGCCTCTGGCACAGTCCTAGCAGTGGTCTTTAATAACCTCCTGGTGTGGCAAGATGTTCCAGATTCATTTTGTACATTTCCTACCTCATACCTGGAGTCATCAATTCCTCCAAAATGCTATGGTTTTTTATTTTTATTTTTATTTTTTAGCATAAAATAGAATTTCAAGACCGTAATTTAGGCTTTCAGAATATTACCACTGCCATGGTTGTTGGTTCTGGGGGAAAAATTGTGTGTATGTGTTTTAAGGGTGTATGTGTGTGCTAAGTAACTCTGTACTCCAGAGTCTGAGCTTGGGAAGAAGAAAAAGTTCTGGAGATTGATGGTTACACAATTTCAGTAAATAGTATTAAATAGTACACTTAAAATGGTAACATTTATGTGTATTTTACCACAATAACAAAAAAGGAAAATGTTTAAATACTTTGAGTTTATTTGATACTTCACATTCAAATTTGTTGCGTTTTTTTGTCTTCTGTCTTTAAAGCTGGTCCACAATTTCCATATCAAGAATTCTATTTTTTTTTTTTGTATCGGGGATCGAACTCAGGACCTTGCGCTTGTGAAGCAGGTGGTGGCACCACTGAGCTAAATCCCTGGCCCAAGAATTCTAGTTCTTGAGCCTTGTGTGGTGGCGCATGCCTGTGATCCCTGCACTTGGGAGGCTGAGGCTGGAGGATCATCAGTTTTCGGCCAGCCTGGGCTGCATAGTGAATTCAAGGCCACTCTAAACAACTACATGAAACCCTGTCTCCAAAAAAAAAAAAAAAAAAATTTTTAGTTCTCAAGGAGGTTGGTGTTGATATTATATAATTATGAGATTGATGGGGATAATCATAATCATTTTTTTCTTTACACTCATGACATTATTAGAATAGCAGTATCAGTAGAGCTCCACCAACACGATTTTTTAAAGCAGAATTGAAAAAAGACTCCTTTTTTTGAGACAGGATCTTCCTGTGTAGATCAGGCTAGCCTTGAACTAAGGCCAGCCTGGGATACACAGTGAGTTCAAGGCCAGTCTGAACTACAGAGTGAGACCTTGTCTCAAAAAAAAAATAGAGTAAGAAGGTTCAGATAAAAGGTGAGGGAAGTGAATCTCAGAAAATTAGCTGCCATATTTCTAAATGCTGCACCAAAACAGAGACAAAGGCTAGAAAATAAAGTTGGGCTGACCCAGCTCTCTTCTAAAAAGAATATGAAGGGCCGGGGATTTAGCTCAGTGGTTCCACTGCCTGCCTCACAAGTGGAAGGACCCAAGTCCGATCCCCGTACCAAAAAAAAAAAATAAAATAAAAAGAACATGAAAAGTAGTTCATTTGAGAGAGAGACAGGAGATACTACAGGGCAATGATGGTGAACCTTTCAGAGCTTTCAGTGATAACAAACATCCTGCTGCGGCATGAGTGCCATAGACTCACCACCACTGCTACAGGGTCAAGTCCCACACAAAACTATTTATTTAAAAAACAACAACAACCACCACAACAACAACATCATAAGGACAAATACAATCCCCAAAGACAATAGCACACCACAGAGACATGCCCAGCAAAGCAGTGAGAACTGTGATTCGATACCACAGAACGAGTTGTAATACCTCAAGAAAATGACACAAACTGACTGAATAACAAACCAAAAATAGAAAAATGGAAAATAAAAGCTACTGCATAGTAACAAGAATCTTTATGAATTGATATGTTTATTTAGAAAACTGATTTTTCTGACTCAGAATGCTTTTTTTCCTCCCTTTGGTTTTGTGAGATAGAGTATCACTATATAGTTCAGGTTAGCTTTGAACTCACTATGTAGCCCACGAATGGCGATCCTCCTGCCTCAGCCTCCCAAGTGCTGGGATCACAGGCATGTACTACCAGGCCTGGCTCTTGAACCAGTTATTTGGCTCTTGTGCTCAGTTGTTTTATTATGCTGTTAGGATTGTATTTCCAGTGGTTTCTCCCCAGTGTAGGATTTTGCAAGTTCATAGCCTGCACGACCCCTTTCTTCCTGCATTACAGTTCACACACTTGCCCCAGTGAGTGGAACCCTACTCAAGTTCCACTTCTGTCTCAGAACTTTCCTATTATGTTGATTTTGGTGGGGCCCTTACTGTCATCAGGTGACACCTCTTGCTGCTTCCTACTTCGCTTCACAGATTGTGGTACCAGATTTGTCTTGGTGGTGACGCTGGTGGTGGTTTATCCCTGCCGACTTTTCCAGTTTTTTTTTTTTTTTTTTTTTTTTTTTGGTGCCAGAGATTGAACTCGGGTCCTTGTGCTTGCACAGCAGGTGGTAAAACCACTGAGCTAAATCCCTAGCCCGACTCTTTCACTTTTGTTGGGGGTACCTTCCAAATTTTAACAAGGGTATTTACCGTGGTTTTTCTCTGTTGTGTTTGTGAGCACACTTGGGCACTTTTTCATAGTTTGTCTTCCTCCATGCCTTTTCCTTTCTCCTCTTTTTTCTTTGCCCCTTTTTACAATGGAAGACCCCTGCTGAATCCAGTTTAGTAGGATTAGGTGATTTTTATTTGAGCTTGCTGTTTGGGTTAAGATTGGGCAGTAGTGGATTCTTCAGTGCTCTGTTCAAGCATTGTTCAGTTCACCCCTTAGGCCTGGAGGGGAGGGCATTGTACACCACATGATTTTAACCTTTCCTGGGATACTGTACTGTTGGGTGGGGATCCGGAGTTGTGTGGAGTGGTGGTGACTGTACTGCAGTGTCCTGTGTGCTGGAGGCTTTCCTCAGGTCAGACGGCTCCTTGCCTGGTAATCTGACCTTCCTAGAATGACCATGATATGCCTGGGGAAATGAAAATGATCCTCTCTTCTACCTCACTTTCCCCACCACCATGCCCATCCTGAGGCATGCAGATGACTCCAGATCAGGCACATCCTGTATCCGTTTCTCTGTTTTTTGGTACTGGGGATCGAACTCAGGACTTTGTGCTTCTGAGGCAGACAGTGGAACCACTGAGCTAAATCCCCGGCCCCTGTATCTGTTTTTCTAAGGAAAGGGTTTTGGTGGTGGTCTTTAGAACTGTTACTTCATGTCAGCTATTCTCTCTCATTCAGACAGATTTGTATCCCATTTAATTGTTCTCCTTCAGTTTGGTCTTAGGTTTTCCAAATTCATAGAATGGGGTGGTGGGTGTTTCCATATTGTAGAACTAGAGTTTCCTTCTTTGTTCATTCCAGTGGATTTCAGGGAATGGGGTAATTAAAAAAACAAAACAAACAAAAAAACACTTTCTTTCCTGGGAAAATGCTTTACCCAAGGAGAGTCAGAACCTTACTTTGGGATATATATGGAAAAATTAAAACAGCAGCTTGTATGTCAAGAAAAGTTCTGGGATATAGTGTGATCCAAAATTATGACAAAGTGGTGGTCATAGGAGGTTTCTAGGGAACAATCACTTGAGTGTGGGTAAGGGTGCTAGCTGAGTGGCAGAAACAGATCCACAAATAACCCTGAAAGCCTACCAGCGGAGGGCACTGGGTGAGACCCAGGAGTCCCAGAGCTCTCACTAGTCTCATGCTGGGTGCCACTCTTGGATTTCTGTGAGATGCCATTTTTCCTTCTTCCTTGGGCTGCCTGTAAGTTGCTCTCTGAATCTTAAAACCAAAGAGCCTAAGTAAAGTGAATGCTTTATTTACTCTGTGAAGAAGGACCCCAGATCATCCAGGTGTGTGGGGGAAGGTGAGTACTTAGGGTTTCTGAGAAAAACAGAACACAGTCATTGTGAAAAATGAGAGGAAAAACTGAAACAACTGCCGAGCACCATCAAAGGTCCAATAGAAGTTGGAATAAAGAGCTTACAGCCATATCTTTCTGCGTGGGACTTTTCTGTAGGAGTAGGGGCATAGGCCAAGATTGTGGCTAGGGGAAGAATCCAGGCTTGACTGGAAAGACAGGTCAGTGGGACAAAGGACTTAAGCTCGTGGGCTGGACAGAGACAGCTGTGTCCTACCCATGGGTCTGATCCAGGGAAGAGAATGAAAGGGTAGGGTTCTGATGGGGAGAAAGTGGGTAGTTGTCAAGGGATTAGAGGGCTTGTTGAAGATAGCATGTAGTGGGAGGAAGTGACCAAAGGCCAGGAAGTTGTAGTAAGAATTGGATGTTTAAGATTTTAGAGTTGGAATGATTTTGGATTATGTCAAGATTGTGTGTGGCCAATTGATTTCTCTTGCCTTTGTAGCTCTTTGTTTTTCCTTTTGGTACTGGGGATCGAACTCGGGTCCTTGCGCAGCAGGCAGCGAAACCACTGAGCTAAATCCCCGGCCCTGCCTTTGTATCTCATCTATTTAAATGGTAACTAGGTAGTATCTGGCATTTTATCTTGATACTACTCTAAGTGAAGAACAATGGAAAAAACAAGTAGTAAGCAGTTTATTTTTTAAAATTACTTAAAAAAGTTGTTTACACATGTGGATTTACATAACTTGGTGACAACATTTTAAAATGTACAGGCTATTTCATATTATTGCACTTACTCTTTAATATATAAGGCATTTTATTTTACATAAAGGAGAATATATAATATACAACAGGTGTGGTGCCAATTAAGTCAACCATACAATTCAATGAGATGTGTGTGGGAGGATGGAAAGGAAACCCAGGCTCCTCAGCCTTCATGGTATATTCTTGCAACTATGATTTACATGTTAAACACATATTTACCCTCATAGCTTACTGTGAATGAATGACCAGTTTAAAAAAAAAACATGAAAGTTTTAGTAGGACAATACCATTAGTGTTCACTTCAGGGAGTGTGGGAATTTATTAGACTAATTAGAAATACTAGTCATGCCTTGAACATCGAAGACAAATAAATAGCTTTCTATGTCAGGGTCAAACACGGTTTAGTTTTTGCTTCTTCCCTCATTCTTACTGTTGGCTGGGGAACCCTTCTGGCAAGATCTTGTAGAAATGGTTGATTTTAACATAGTGTGGTAAGCCAGAGATTCACCCTGTACTCTTCAGACATGAGGAGTAGGGACTTAGAAGACCATGCCATTGCTCCATTTTGCTCTAGAAATTCCTGTCTGATCACATAAGACTACGAATTTCTTATAAATAGGCATTGTTGTAAGAGTGAAGGGAAAAATTGGTTTTCAGTGTTGATTTCAGATAGCCTCAACATTTGGGCAAGAGAGCAGAAACCACAAAACTGACCTCAGAGACTTAAAAAACAATCTAGCATGCACCTTGCACTGACTTCCTATAGTATCCTACCTGTAACTGCAATGAAAAATAGAAGCTAAATCAATCAGGTTTTCTAGCTAACTCCTGTACTACATATTCTTTTGTATAACCTGTTGAAAAATGACAAATCTGGCCTCGTGTAAGCCAGATATTTCACTCCCATTCGAGGGACCTCTGGGCTAACTCCGTAGATACATAGCAAGATTGGTCACTCAGAAAAATGTACAAAGGTGACAGCTAATGTATTTCAATGGTCCAAGGCTTGTAGCCATAGACCTAGCTGTAGGTTATGTAAAGAAATTGCCAACATAAAATCTTAGCATCATGTGTTCAGGTATGACAAATGCAATCTCCACCCGTATTCCTGGCATGCAACGGGGTGGCCTGCACCACCCGAGGATTTGGATTATAAATACTGCATAATCCTTTACCTTCACTCACCCTGTTTTTCCATTTTTCTTTCTCATTCTTATGACATTTTGGTAAACCAAGCTTATGAGGCTTTGCAATTTAGGAAAATAAGGTACAGTGGGAAGGGAGAAAAGTCAACATTGTGACAGGGGATGCTACTCCGAAGAAGCTAATGGCAGCCAGGGGAGTTTCACAAGCAGCATGAGTCAAAACAGTCTGCAGGAAAACAGTTTTGGCAAAAGGAAGAATTTGGAAAACAAACAGCAAAAACTTCAGTCACTTCAGAGCTCTGTCACTGTACCAGGTCAAGAAAAAGATCCATTACTTGGCTACATTTCTGAAGTGTGTTGGGCCACGAAAAACCATCCAAACAAGTCTCCCCAGAGAATTACTTTAAACTTTTAAATTTGTATTTTAAAAAGAATGGCTATGTCTCTAAATCCAAGAACATTAAAAAGATACTTGATTTCTGGAAATTTAAAGATGTAGAAATGGAGACCCAGTGACTGAGAGTTTTGCCTACTTTTATGTTGACTAGTCTTGAACTCAAGCATTTGCTCAAGACCAGTCTGAAAACTAGATGCAAGGTGCTTTCAGAGCTGGAACTTCTTGCTCCTCCTAGCAGCAAAGCTCAGAGCTATGTATACAGTTTATTGGGACTGTTATTCTATAAATTTGCAGAAATAGAAAATGATCAATACTTCATAGTCAACTCATTGAGTTGAACTCTGCATCCATACATTATACATTAAAAAATATTACTTTCTGTATTTTGCTTTTTTAGTTTTGATAATTCCTGAGCTCAGCCTACTGATTAGGACATTATTCATTTTCTGTTCAGGGTACTATCTACCTACCTACAGCTCCTCTCTCCATTGAATGTGCCTAAGAGTACTGTGTCATTTACTTACAAAGTTATATGAAACTACAGTCTTTTTAGTCGTGATATTTGTGTCACCCCTCAGGTCCCTACTCACCAGGATTATATATTAGGAGATGGAGCTAGAGGGATGTGGAGGTGTAGCTAGGTGTTTCAGATGAAAAAGGGCATGTCACCTCTTGTATCCCCACTGCAGACTTAAAAGGAGGGGACAGGCACTGGAACAAAATGAACTCCCTAGCCTAGGTGAATGGCTTCTAGAGTTTACCTTCATTGTTGCTACAACACAATAGGTGAGGCTTCATGTGTAAGTACAAACTTGGAGATTTTTATAGTCCTTGTCTATACCATTGTTGTCTCAACCCATCATTTAAAGAAGTCATTTTGATTCACTAAAATAAGAGAACTGAGAAAAGGTGACCCTTACTAAAATTCATGAAGAATTCCTGTGCTTCCTAATTACTAACTGCACAGGTCCTTCTGGAACAGACTTCAGAATATTCCAGGCATCAAAGTGCATGAGCCCAAGCAGGGGATTCCCATTAATGGCAAGAATTTCATCTCCAGCTTCTATTGTTCCAGCTTGTTCTGCTGCACCACCTGTTAGAACAAATACAGAATAAGGGCTTGGCATTTTCATAGTTTTCCCAAAAAATTCTAAGTAAACTAACAATTTAAATAAGAACAATCCCTAAATGACATGCCTATATTCTTAAGATAAGCAACTGTTATAGCTTGTGTCTAGATGTCCCCTTAAAGCCTCATGCAGTCATGGGTGGGGTGTTTTCAGAGGTGGTTGAATCTAGAGTGATTAAGGGTGGATGACTACTAAACCAGTACACTGACTGGCTTGGCACCGCCCTAATCCCAATAGTCTAGATAAAATATAAAAGGGGCAGAAAAAAGCTGCTAAGGTCTCTTGGTTGCTTTGCTGCCTCCTGCCTGCCATGAACTGTTTCTCCTCTGCGATGCCCTGCCTTGGAGCCAGCCGATTATGGACTGAAACCTCTACAAACTGTAAGCCAGATAAACCTTTCCTCCTTTAACTGTGGGTGTTGGGTATTTTATCTCAGCAATGAGAAAAATAACTAAGACAGCAATTATTTTTTATCTTCTAGAGATAGGATCTTACTGTCTCGCCTAGGCTGGCCTCAAACTTGAGATCCTCCTGCCTCAGCCTTGGGAGTAGCTGGGATTATAGGCATGTGCTGCTGTCAAGCTTAAAATAGGGGACTCTTTCTTTTTTTTTTGAGAGGGTCTTTACTCTTGCTCAGGCTTTGAGCTCACTGTGTAGCCCAGGTAGGCCTTGAACTCACAGCAATCCTGCCTCAGCCTCCTGAGCGCTGGGGTTTCAGACGAGCGCCACTATGGCCAGCAGGGAACTATTTCTTAAACAAGTTGCAAAATGCGTATATCCATAAAAATAAATTGGACTACATAAAAAACACTTCCCTCCCTGCCAAAATACAAGCAAGACAAAAACAAGCAATTGACAAGAGGAAGATAATTTCAATCTATACAATTGACAGAGTTAGTATCAAGACTAAATGACTATAAATCAGTAAGAACAATAAAAACAAATAGAAAGGTAGGAAAGGAAATCAGTAGTTAAACTCCACGTAGCCAATTAATGCAGGAAAACAGGCTCAACTTTTCAATTAATAGCTGTCGGCTGATGTTTTCAAGTTCTAAGAATCAGTGATTCCTTACTTATCTGGGACTGTGAAGGGTACTTGTTACCTAACACAAAGCTTTAGATATTTCTTCATTACAGCTTTGTGTAGGTTATAGCAAATTCACTAGCTTTGTAAAGACAAGCTGAAACCCTCTCTGTTCAGTTTCTTGCACGATCACATTAATGAAATGCACACTGGGTAAGGAGACAATGGAAAATGTGGTACCGAAAGAATAATTCCAAAGAATAAAAGTAGAAATTCTTAGAAATTTCAGTAAGATCTCAAAAGACTGAGCAGATGCATTTATTTCATCTTAAATTTCTCAAAGTCGTTAAATATTTGTACACATGTAATTATAGTTGCTTATAAAATTGATAAAATAATACATATACAACCTGGAAGAAAGTGGTAAGTTCACATCCAACCCAGCCAAGGATACCCTGCATAATGATACAGGGAGATACTGTCATTAGAAGAAAGGCCTCTGTCAGCTCCACAGTGGAAGCAGTGGATGATTTAGTCGTAGGTCATCTGATCTATTTGTAGTATAATTAGTTACTGATATTGTTTGGTGTAATTATTAATACAATAGGGAACTGAAGAGATTTTTGGAAACTGCCTAAGATCTTAAAATGAATTATTCAAGTTCAGGAAGAGACTTCATATTTACCAGCCATTTCAGTAATACCTACCTCCCATCTTACTTTTTTTTTTTTTGAGATGGGGTCTTGCTGTGTAGCTCAGGCTGGCCTTGAACTCAGTGATTCTCCTGCCACCTTTCTTTATTGCATTCTAGTATTTTGGGTTAGTAAAAATCTTGACTGGGACTAAGTGTTCCTGATTGGCAGGTCTGATGACATTCCTACCTGACAGGGTTGTTACATGGACAACATGAGTTTTAATATGTGTAAAACACAACAGGTAGATATGGATTAAACCTTGTATGTCACAAAGCATTAAAAATTTATCAGATTTTTAAAAACAAGTTTGATTTCCAAATGGAAGGCACTGATTTTTCATGGAGACATATGTGGAAAGAAAACAGGCAGGAGGAAGCCGACAGCTGTCTAGGACATTACCTTTGTACACCCTTTTAACGACCAGGGGTCCATCTCCAGCTGTAGACGATTTGCCTCCATCTAGACTCAGTCCTAGTCCAGCCGAGGTCTTCAGCACTTCAACACACAGAGCCTCATGAGCAGCTCCGCTTCTCCCCGTAGCAGCTACGTTCATCGAGATAAACATGAAGGGGTTGTTCACTTGCCACCTGTGCACTACCCACCTCCCTCTGCACCAGGGTTTCCTGGCACCCTCCTATCTAGTGTGAAATCCTTACACCCATCTTGGAGGCCAGCATTAGGGTTGGTCTCAGTACAGAGCCGCCTGCCTGTGTTCCTTCTGCATTCTTGTGCATTTTCTGCAGATGGGGAAAATCTTTTTATGCCCAAACAGAAATCCCCAGAAGACAAATGACCCTTGTCAAGCTCCACATTCTGGTGGTCCACATCTCAGGAAGGACGGAAGACACACTGAGGGAATGAATCTGACTTCCTGCCAAGCCTGGCTACCCAGTGGAGGGTCACCATCTGGTACTGAAATGAGCAGCAGCACCAAGTGGCCAGTGTTGTGTGAGACTGTCCTAATTACCAGGGAAGCACCTGGGACCAGGCAGACCTTCCTTGCCCCATGCCCTTCGTGTGCTCAGAGGGGAAGCCCTGCCTCTGGACACAGCTGTCTTCCTCACACACTGGCTGCCTTTATTGGCATCTGGCTCCACTGTGGGGAGAAGTTTCCATGGCGACGCTTGCTCCACAGCAACCAACTTGCCCCCACTGTGTGTGAGTTTAGAGAGGCCAGGCTGGTGTCTGAATAGGAACTGTTAGTTTGCCTTTTAATTTCACTGACTTATGTGTTGTACCAGCCAAAGATGTTAAGTTGTGTAGAAAGGTGCACTTAGTTGCTTGGGAAGCAGGGTAAAGCCCACAAAAATATCAAACTGCACTTAACGTATTTGTTAGAGTTGAGCCATCATCATTGCCTTTGAACGTAAGGATCAGCCCATTATTATGGTGTAAAGACAGTGAATCTACATGATCAGAAAATTACTAATACTGGGAATAGCAGCACCCCCCCCCCCCCCCCCGCCAATCATACTCAGGACCTTGTCAGGCAGGCTCAGTACCACTGAGCCATATGCCCAGCCCTTTAGCATGGTAAATAGATGACTTTACTTGCTATTGAACAGAAAAAGGCCTGTTACAGCGACTGCCTCCTGGAATCATCTGGGAACATTACAAAGGTATTAATGTTGGTTCTCACCCCTCAGTGTTTCTAGTTTAATGTAGCAGGGAAATGTCTTGGACGTCAGGGTTTTAAGAACACTTTCTACTGTAATCCTAGCATTTCAGAGGCCAAGGCAGGGGAGGATTGCCATGAATTTGAGGCCGGCCTAGGCTACATAGTGAGTTCAAGTCCAGCCTGGACTATGTAGTGAGGCCTCCCCCCCCCCCCCCCGCCCCCAAAAGCTTTCCAGGTGCCTCTACTATGCCCAAGTCAGATGCTCTTTGTGTATGATAAGGAATACAATTGCATAGGATGAGCTGGACACACAGCAGGGGGACCATAAAGAACAGGAACCATAAATTTAAACCTTCAAAGGGCTTACAACTTGATAACTATAGGCTCTGGTTCAAGGCCAGACCCTGAAGGTGCTGCAGGAATGCCTTGTGATTGTAAATGATAGTAGGGAAGTCTTCTATATCTGACCTCCCAAGTCTCACGTGCCCTGAAAGCTTAGGATAGAGCGCCATGTGTTTCCTTGGACAGACCTAATGCCGATGATGCCAGTGAAAATGCACCAAACAGCTGAGTCAGGGCTGGGCCAAAGGTGAGCACAACCGGGCCTGATGACTAAGGAGCACCCTTCTATCAGGAAGGCTCTGCTTTCTGGAGGAAAGGAAGTGTCCCTGTGCTGCTGCAGAGGCATCTGGACAAGAATGTCTCAATGGAGTTTTTCAGCAAAGCCTTCACAAATAGCTCAGGCCACAGTGAAGACCTGTTGAGTAGAGGCATTAGTTACCCTTGACATCATCATCAGAAGAGGTGCTGAGAAGGAACAAAAAGCCTATCCCAAAAGGCTGCGTCTAACCTGAACCTCTGTGGACTCTGCCTCCTGGACGAGGGAGAGCCATCAAGCCTGATTCGGAGGAAGAGAGCCCCACGGAAGGGCTGAGGTGCTGATAAGAAGGCATCAGAAATGAGCCTCTGTTGTTGAGGCTCCAGGCAGCACATTGTGGAGGGCACAGGGAAAACTTCTTTGAGCCCCTGTCTAGCAAGCTCCTCTTTGCTGATGAAGGCTGCAGTCCTCATTTTCAAACACAATAAGATGTTTGCCCCTTCATTTCCCAAATTCTTCTAAAACAGGAGAGCCAAACTTGATGTTTTCCAGGGACATCTCTCATTCTGGAATCTTTCCATCAAGATTGATCTCCCTATGACAAGAGTTCCTTGTTTTACTTACTAGCCACTTAAGTCCTAACAAGAAGGTGTAAATACGAAAGGGCTTCCTTTCTAGGAGACTTAGAGAAGTTGCCAAGCAGTCATTTAAAATCCTCAACAGTGTGGCTTTAAGTACTGTAGGCTTTTAAGAATTTATTTGTAACACTGCTTTTGCAAGAAGCATCCCCAAACATTAGACTTTACTACATTTAATTTTTTTTTTTTTTTTTTTTTGGTACTGGGCATCGAATCAGGATCTTGGGCCTGTGAGGCAGACAGCAGAACCACTAAGCTAAATCCCCGGCCCTACATTTAATTTTTCTGACGCAAGAATTAACCATTCTTTTCTTTTGTAGCCACCCAGGATCTATCAGCTGCTAACACCCTGCTGGTTAACTGCTCTCTTACCAGTTCCAGGTGCCAGTGGGGTGGTCTTTTTGGTGAGTGAACCCTTTCCATTGGCCACAGGAGGCTCCTGCCTGACAGAGGACCTGGGCTGGTCACTCCCTTTCTTGATGACCACGAGGACCTGCTTGTGCAGCTGTGCCTGATGCAGAGCCTTCAGGACATCTCCGTGGGCCAAGCCGGCCAGTGAGGCACCATTAACAGAAAGAAGGAAGTCCCCTCGGTTCACAGTCCCTTCCTGAGAAGCCATCCCCTGAGAAAACACCCTGTGGATCTGAGACAGAGAAAGAGAGCTGAATCCATTTGTGACCACCAGCAAGAGAGTCATTGCAGTCTGTAGTAGAGATACAAGTTTCCTAGATTGTACAGATTCTTAGTTTATCAGTGACATGTACCCAGTGTCAGAGGTGAGGTTACAGATGCCAACACCAGCATCTCACGTATTTTCACTCAACTTCTTGTTAGTGTCTAACGTGTGCCTGGCGTGCACTGGGCAACAGCGAGACAAAGATGAATGAAGCCTGCCCTTGTCTGGTGGAGAAGGCCTTCTAAGTGATCTCAAACCCTTGGGGTGATAAAAATTTTATAAGTAAATGCAAGTTTGGTCAGTTGATTCTCAATATTTAGCCACATTATAAGGATATAGATATTATGTCTATAAGTATTCACATTTGGCCTATATCATGTCAGCTATGTGTTAAAAATGCTCATCCTGCTAATTGAGGTGGGACGTGCCTGTAATCCCAGCTACTCCAGAGGATCACAAGTTCGAGGCCAGGCTGGGCAATTTACTGAGACCTGTCTTAAAACATAAATAAATGAAAAGGCAGGGGCCGGGTATGGTGGTGCACATCTGTCATCCCCGCACTCAGGGGCCGAGGCAGGAGGATCACAGTGACTCTGAGGACAGGTGGAACTACATGGTGAGTTCAGGGCCACCTTGGACTATGCAGTGAGACCCTGTCTTAGAAACAAGAACTGAGGCTGTAGCTCAGTGGTAGAGAGCCCCAGTGTTTAATACGTACTAAAACAAGCCCCCAACAAACCAAATCCCAACCCCCTAAGATTCCCAAAACTTAATACCCCCAGAATACCCTTTTTTTTTTGTCAATGCAAGTATTATGTGCTTGAGCTGATTGGAATTCATGTCCTGATCAAATTCTGCAGGTGCATAAGGAGTGCTTTCCTGAAAGCCCAATGACATTGTCACTTACCATGACTGATTTCAGGTCCCCATCTGTTCCTCCTACCACACTGAATCCCAGACCTGAGCCTTCTTTTTTATTCAACACTACGAAGAAAATATCTTCCTTATTCTAGAAAGGAGAAACAGGAAAAAATTACTGCATATTCCTCATGTCAAGAGTGAGTTCTAAGCCAGGTGTGGTGGTGCATGCCTGTGACCTCCGCACCTGGGAGGCTGAGGCAGAAGGGTCGCTGTGAATTTGAGGCCAGACTGGGCTACACAGTTCAAGGCCAGCCTGAGCTACATAGCAAGACCGTGTCTCAAAAAACCAAAAACCAAACCAAAACAAAGAGAAGAGTGAGAAGCTCTGACCTAAATTCTCCCAGTAACTATCCAGTTCTCCCAGAAATGCCATCCGCACCCCTCTGGGTGGTGCATGAATGGCAGGTTTGAGGGTCCGGCTGGAGCCGTGGCGCCCTGGGGAAGACAAACACATCCAGGACGGGGCAGGGTGCTCTTAGGGACTCCTCAAACCATTTGAGGTGCCACATTGTCTTCCTGGATATGACCAGAGTACACCGATTAACCACCAAGGGAATTCTTCATCCTGTAACTCTTAAGTCTACAATTTAACAAAACCTGTTCCAGCACCTGCAAAAAGTGCCAGGAGGTGGGGTAAAAGCACACTGAAGCCATCTGCTTTCTATTCCCACTTCCTTGTGGTCAGGTTATGTATGGGGTTTTAGGTGCAGTTGATTAACTAGCCATCATAAAGTATTAAGTATGTTAAAAACAAGGATTTAAAATTCACTGCCAACTTAAATTGGGATTAGGATATTTTTAGTAGTGTCCTAGGGCTAAGTAACAAGACTGTCTTGTTGGAAGCTTCAATCAAAAGACATCTTGGAATAAAAGATTTTAAAATAAAATTAGGTGGGCTAATTGTGAATTTTAACTTCCCTTGTCCACACCCTAGATACATGATCCAGCATTTTAAATTTCTGCACTGCTTGGCTTCACATGAAGTGACTGACAGTCAATCCCCTATTCCACAGTATTCCCAAACTTCAATAGGAGAAGAATCTACCAGTAACCCTTAGAGAGTCCTTGATGTGAGACAATGAATGACGAGAGGAGAAAGCACCTGTGTGACATTCAGGGGAAGGAACCCAGCAGGAGAAGTGTCTGGCCCTGTCCATAAGTCACGAGGACTCATTTTCCAGCATTCTACACCTCTCCAAAGAAGTGCATTCAAACAAGGGTCCATGTGCTGAAAGGAGAGTCCCACGCAACTTTTGGGGGGCTGGATGATAACTTCAAGGGCACCTTGAACCATATAGAGGCTCAGGTGCAGATCAGAGGACCATCAGAGGGGTGGTCACCAGGGTTTCTAAACAAAAGCAAACGTGGTCCGTCCAGGAAATGATCTTCGTGCAGCTTCTGGGAGGTAGTGTCTGAGGCAGACATTTGAATACTTAGATCTTTAAATACCTATTTGATTAGAGATGGAATCTATGAAAATAGAACTTTCCTGCACTACAGGACATGGTGCCACCAAAATTTCACTTATTGTTTTTGAGTCAGGGTCTTGCTCTATTCCAAGCTGGTCTTGAACTTGCTATGTAGCCTAGGCTGGCCTTGATATCGTGAACCTCCTGCCTCCTCCCCCAGCATGCTGGGACTTTAAAACAATTTTTTAATGGTGTTTGAGGAAACAAGTGTGCCAGCAGCTGACTTTCAGGCCAAATTTTCCCTGAAAAGCTTGGCATAACATCCAGGGAGCCAGATGAACCACCAAGCATTCTCCAAGGCTTGATGTGCTTAAGACAGGCCAGGGCTCTTTTCTGGCCTCTTACTTTCTCATAGCGCCACTAGAAGGGCACCGGAAACAGTTTTGTGCAATTCTATTCTTAGCACTTACAAACGGTACTCGGAGAAAAAGCAAGGCAGAAAACCACTAGTATGAAGACGGCAGAATAAGGATATCTATGCTCACTACATCTCTGAAATCAACTGAAGACAAAACAAGGGAGGGAACAGCAAACCACAACACTTGTCTGGGGGCTGAATGTAAGGCAGGGTGAGGGAGGCCCCAGGTGAGGGGCAGCACTTGGAATGTCCCTCCGGCACACAAGTCAGCTCTTTGTGTCTGCTTCCCGAAAATGGGCGTCTTGTGTACGAGGTTGGTTGAGACTCTCTGGTTTTCCTCTACATTTTATCTAACAATATAAAAAGTTTGGAGCCAAGGGGGACCGGCAGAGCGTGACCCTATCTGTGCCACAGTGACTAGAAATCCCGAGGGAGGTCTTCTCGCATGGACCAGCGCCTCACTGTAGCAATGAGCTGAAGCAGACAGGTGGCCTGGTGCCTTCGACGAAAAGCAGGAAGTGCTTGACGTCTCAGGTGTTTCTGAGCGGCTCAGACCCAAAGCGGTGGGCTGAGTGAGAAGGGAGAGGGAGGTAAAGGGTCTCCTCGCTCTTTCTCCTCCCCTCCGGGCCAGGTTATTAGCTGCAACGGCTGCTCTTGGCTGAGAAACCGCGAATATTTCCCTCCAGGTAACCTCTGAGTTTCTGAAGTAGTACTTGTGAAACATTACTAACCTGAGCGTATCACCAGTGTGTTGACCAGTTTTTTAAAAAATCACTTTTGATTTTTTTCCCTCTAAATATTCACCTATTAAGGCTCAAATTCCTCCTCTCTTCCTCTTTTCACTGGCGATGGAACCCAGGGCCTTTGCACTGAGCTACAGCCCCTTTTATTTTTTGAGACAGGGTTTTGCTAAGTGGCTGAGTTGCCCAGGCTGAGCTCAAACTGGTGATCCTCCTGCCTCAGCCTCCCAGAGTGCTGGGATTATAAGCATGCACCACCACACCTGAAGAGCTTACTTTAACTTTTTCTAGATATGAACCTGTATATTCTTGTGGTTTACTGTCATACCTGATTCATTCAAAATTTATCTTGTTATTCTATCACTATTTTATTAAATTGTTTTTCATAAAAGAGTTTTAAAAAATATTTTGTAATTACTAATTAGCTTTGTTCTGTACTCGAGTTCAGAAACTATATATAAGCATGGCTACCTGTAACTTCGTTCACCAGCAGGTGGCGCCATTCACTAGTTTATGTCCACAGGTGGACAGAGGTACTTGTGGTCTTTCACCATTTCCCAGTTCTGCTTAGAGGTCCCTCAGCAGACAAGCTCCAGATGTGGGAAGGCTGGTGACTAGTTGCTTCTGGGAGATTTAAAAACCATATCACCACTAGTCTGGCACCTAATCACGAAGGGCAGGCTCTGGCTTCTGACAGCAGCTGGCGGCAGACGTGGCTGGCTGGGTGGGTGGGTGCTGCACACCCGGCACTGCTGGGATGTTCGTCTTCCCCAGGTTTCAGCATTTCACTCACCTCTGATTGTGCTTTTGCTTCCTGAAGGAGAGTTAGGATGGAGGATTTCGACTCCACTGACTTTAAAATGGACTGTAATCGCTGCTGGTCCCCCACTGAGATGAGAAGTTGATCCAAACTAAACAACACACACATTTGAAGAATATTAAAGGAAAAAGCAATTTCTCCTCTTTCTATGGATGGATCTGATACGATCGCCTTGCTATTAGATTGCAGGTATTTTCTAATTTCGTGTTTTCTTCCAGTCTTAACCCCAACTCCAAGCTAACTGAAGGGCCTCAGAGGGTGCACAGGAAGTCCTTTGTCAGCAGCTTCAATGGGAAGTGCTAGGGGGAAGGGCCTCAAAGATGTCTGTATGCAACACACAGGCTCAAGTGAAACATTTAAACTCCCGCTTAATGCTAGTCTCTTTTTGGTATCAGGGATCGAACTCGGGTCCTTGCGCTTGCAAGGTAGGCGGTGGAACCACTGAGCTAAATCCCTGGCCCTCTAGTCACTTTCAAAAGCCCAAACTCTCCCATGGTGCAGCCTCCCCTCCCCTCCCCTCTCCCCCCTACACTGCTTTTGCTTCAGTGCCACATCCTGTAGGACGCGCTCCTCGGAGCAGCATTTTGGCAAACTCTGTTCCCCTCAGGCACTTTTATGTTTCCGGTAGTGACACTGAACATGGAGGGGTCTAAATGCAACGAAGCAGTCTGGATTAGATCCTGAAGTACAAAATGGACATTAGTGGAATTTACTCAGTGAAATCGGAATGGAGCCTGTGGTTTAGTTAGTAGGATTGTTCGATGTTAATGTCTTACTTTTGACAAATGCCCCATGGTTCTGTAAGATGTTAACTTCAGGAAGAGCTAGGCACATGGGAACTCACTGTATTACCTTTGCAGCTTTTCTGTTCACCTAAAACTATTCCAAAATAAAGCAAATATGTTTAAATAAAGGAAGGGCAGATACTTACTTAATTGACCAGCTTTTCCCAGAAGGCAGGTCCTGGACAGGTTGGCTGGCTTCGCTGGCTGGACTGGGTGCTGCAGGCTCACTGGCTGGAAGGCCTCCTGCCGGGGAGCCACTTCGAGACCTCCTGGGGACAATCTCCAGCTGGGTTTTGAAGATCACCGCACTGGGCCCTGCAGAGTAATCGTCGCCCCCACAGAGCTTGTCCAGATCGGGCATGCTCAGCGCTCTCAGGTCCTGCAGCTTGGAGCGGGACACAGGTGAGGGGTGTGTGTGGCGCACCGAGGACTTGTTCTTCCTGACGGGAGAGGGTGGGGTCACGGTTGGGGTGGGAATTCCCAGAGTCGTCGGTGATTTCTTTTGGTCTGAATCAGGACCCTTGCTGCTGGTCTCTGCTGGATTCTGCCGGGAGATGATCAATGTCAAGCTCGATGGGGACTTGCTCACTGGCGGGAGAAGGGTACTGGCTTCACTTTGGCTTTCACTGCAGGAACTCAGGCTGCGCCTCAGTGACCTCGCTGCTGCATCACTGGGGTGGCAGAGGCTCCCAGAAATGATGCTGCCGGAAGACCGTCTGCCAACGGGAGGCTTGGTGCTCACCGACAAAAATGGAGACACTCCAGCCTTAGCTGTGGGCCGGTCAGCATTGGCCAGGTTCTCAAAGGACTTGATCCTTTGCTTCACAGAAAAGAATGAGGTAGATTCGAGGGGCCAGTTGTGCTCAAAGTAGTAATGCTTCCTGGTGACTTTGACTTTGTCTGAGACAAGGCAACTTGTCTCCTGGCCCGAGATGAGGTCCCCTTTGTCTGTTGTGTGGAGGTTCCTTGATGTTTCCAGCAGAGGCTTTACACTGTCCACACCCTGTCCATTGGGCAGGCCCAGAATGCCGCCTTTGGAAGCCTTTGCCTCCAACGGGTGACCACTGCTCTTTACGGGGACCTGGCTGTCCCGAGGAGAGCGAGCCGGGCTGTGCAAGGCATGATTCTCCTGTCCAAAATGGCTGGGGAACTGGGCTGGCATGGAGTAGGTCCTGGTGGCCGGCCGTGGTGTGAAGTAGGGAGGGTCCTCCCCCGAGGGGCCCACTGGGATGCCAGTGCTGGACACCCCTAGGGAGTCTGGTATCTGGCTCCATCCTCCCGGAGAGGAAGCTGGTTTTTTAGCAGGCAGCTGAGGGGAGGAGGAAGAAACCAGTTTGGCTACACAGAATGATCGTTGCATTTCCTGCTCCACGGGAGAGGCATGAGACATGACAGAGGGTGGATAATTTGGGGACAGTTCCACTGACTGGTGGCATCTGATTTCACTCTTCTGACGGTTGCTCTGGGCCAGGTGCCCTCCCTGCCTGTCACTTTCAGCTGGCTTGTCACCGCATGCATTCTTTGGCCTTCTTTCAGAGGAAATCTCAACTATTTTCAGCTGGTTTATTCTCTCTAGGGAGTCACTAGCAAGGCTTTTGCTTCCTTTTTCGTTGGTCCCTCTAGGTTGGACCACTTCTGATACTGAGTCTGTTTGGCTGGAGCCCTGCTGCTCTCCCTGTCTGGTCCCTGCCGAGGGCGCACTGTGCCCCGATGCTGTGGGACTCACGGTGCCAGAGTCAGCACTGCCGGCCTGAGGAGATCGGGGGGTAGCTGGACAGCCTCTGCTGGCTGCTGAGTGGACAGCCGCGTGGAACCTACTGTATGTGCCTTGCTCGGGAGGAGTCTTAGGGGAGGTCGGGGCCGAAGTGAAAGCTCGGATGCTCGTGTCTGAGGCTGAGGGCTTCCGTGAGCTAGAGGCAGCCAGTGTGGGCTTGCTCTCCAGCCTGCCCTGGGGAGACTCGGGGGAGTCTGTGGTGTTTTTGTCAGGGTCCTCTCGGTCAGCTATGTGGAACCGCTGTGACATTGCCTTAGGAAGTGTTTTGTGCGAGGTCCGGGGTGAAACTAAGGATTTCCTGTGATCTGTCCCACCAGCCTTACAGTTCGAAGCTGGGACCTCGGAGCCAACTTTGCTTTTGCTTTTGATGCTGAGTCTCTTCAGCGTAGGGCCACATTTGGCTTTCTGACAGTTACTCACAAGTGCTTCCACTGAGCCTTTTTTAGATGAGTCCTTATTTTCAAGACTGACTTTGAGTGGAGGAGGGCTACTGGGCACACCAAACCCCTTTTTGTGGCTTGAGCTCAACGCCTGGATTTTGGAGTCAGGACCCTTGGCTGGTGGTGTGGAGGGTTCTCTCTCAGTTTTGCTCTGCACATGGGTACTGTGGTTATTCTTACTTATTTCTTTAAACCAGGCCATGATGGGCCTCCTGGAGATCGTTTTTGGTTTCTGTAACAAGTCATCAAAGTCTTGACTTTCAGAGACGTGTAGATTTGCCAGAACTGACTCTCCATTCTTAGGGCCATCTGCACTGAAGGAGTACATGCTTTCTGTTGCAGTAGCATTTGTTACTTGTTCATTTGGGGTTTTGTCATCCAGCAGGTTTTGTCCCAAGCCATTTATCATGCTGGGGGAGCTGAGTGTGTCTGGTGGGTTGTGACAGTGCCTGGTGGCCTTAGAAGGCTGGCTGTTGTCCATGGCTGAGCTGGCACTGGTGACTCCCACAGTGTCTTCTGCACACAAGGATTCATGAATCTGTGAAATGCTTATGTCTGAAGGAGTTTCCTGCTCCTGAGAGCTTATATCCAGGAGTGAGAGTGGCTGGAAAGAGTCTGAGATGGAAGGGCATGGAGCCCCTGGCAAGAAGGAGGCTTTCTCACAGGAGCTGTCCACAGTCTCACTCCGGGCACTGTGCTGTAATGGCAGAACTTTGGCTGAAGCAGGCCAGGGCGTATCCTGGACGGGATGATGGGTATCTATTGAGGGTACACTGGGGCAACCATTTGTGGAACAAATTTCGATTTGTTCTTCCTCAGACTCTGCAGTGTCTTCCTTGTGAGAAGACCCATGCGGATGAGGAGGTGACCAGCTGCCTCTGGTAGAAGCTTGTGTGGCTTCAGTGAGTGACTCAGGTTCAGAAGACGAGTCTTCAGCATCACCATACATGGATGAGAGAGATGGCTCTGTGCTGTCGCCCAGGCCTGACAAGGAGATACTGTCATCGTGAAAACTGCTAAAATTTCTAGAGTAGCTTGTCAGAAAGTTTTTGTTCACAATAAAATGTTTGTCAGGATGAACAGAATCCAAAACTGAAGGCTGGGAGGCCCACTGTGAGGCCTTCCTTGGGGAAGGCGTCTGGTCGCCCATGACTGGCTGCTCATGGTGGATAATCTCAGAACCCTCGTGACCTCCACAGTCCCCCTTCTGGGAAGACTGGGACCTGGCTGCAGAAGCCTCTGACTCCTGGATGAAGTTGTCAATGTCTGTTGCAGGGCTTCCTCCACTCTCAGATGGGCAGCTGTGCCCCAAGACACCATCCCAGGTGTGTTTGGTCCTGTCAGGGCATGCAGGCAGGGAGGGGCTCCCAGGTAGGAAATACGGGCCCTGGAGCAGGGCAGCCTGTGGGGAGCTGTGAGGTGTGCAGACTCCGGTCATTTCAGCAGCCTGCCTGTGGTGACTTGGAGCTCCTGGACGCCCCTCCTGGGAAGCAAGGGGGCCTCGAGGCAGGACAGAGCTGGCTGGAGCGGCTCCCTCAGGCCCTGGTCCCGAGCCCCTTGAGGCAGCCACTTCCATGGTGTCCTGGGGTGGGCGGGCTCCTGGCGCAGCCTGGGTCTCGCTGAGGTCAGGAGGAGCCATGGCAGTCCCCACTGGGGCCGTGTGGCACTCTTGGGCCAGCCTCACCACAGAGCTCCCCTGGCACTCGGGCTCACGGAGCCTGGACGCGGCGGGCTGGCTGGGGCTGTCAGGCCGGCTGACTGGCCCTGTGTCTGCAGAGACCCGGCCGGGGAGAGGATGAGCGGATCCCTTCTTTCCTGGGGCCGGGAGGAGGGCAGGGGAGCCGTCCAGTCCTGTGTGGAGAATGCACAAAAGGTGGAATGGTAGGAGAAAACAGGAGCCTCTCTGCCTAAAAAACTAAACAACCCCAGTATTTTTCTCTGTCAGGAAGGCATTCCATAGCCTACATGTGGGCCTTCTTGTCTTTCCGTTTTTGTCTCTCAAATTACACAGCGCTCACATTTAACCAACGACACCCTACTTTAATCACCCTAAAATAACTCAGACTGGCTGGCAGGACGAGTGTATGAGCCTGCCCGCTTCTCTCAGTGGTTTGTCAGGATGGAGGCTCCCAGAAACTCTTCTGCTTCTTGGGTTTCTTTACGTGATCTGCTCTCCAGCAGCGGAAGCCACCGCAGGAAGAGTGAGGCCGCTGTCTGTCTGACTGTTTGGGTTTGGCACGGACGCGGAGGTCTCATCTCACCCCGTCCCTGAGTGCATGGGTTTAGCTGGATGGGTATAAAATAGTGGCTTCAAAGGAGGAGACTGACCAAGGGCAGCGAGGGCTGCAGATGGGTCTACGTCTGCATGGAGCTGGGCTCTGTCTCGAGGCTGGGAGGAGCGGAGCTGGAAGGCCAGGCTATTCCAGGAAAGCCTCCCAGGGTCACGGGGACTTGGGTGTGTGTGTGTGTCGGGGAGGAGTCTGGTCACAGTGATGAGAAAGGAGGAGTGGAAGATGACAATGAAAGCAGACAGATAAGCACAGAAGCTTAGAGGTGGCAGGGAAAGGGGACACTAGAAGTCAAGTCACATGGGATGGGTTCTGAGAGCCACTCCTGGGCTAATCTGTCTACTTCTGCCTCGAGCACCTGCCAAGCTTAGTCGCTTGAAAGGTCTTGCTGGAGAAGAGCATCTACCCCAACTTTACATTCATCCCACATACCACACATAAATGGTCTTATAATTGCCCATGTTTTCCTCCTGAAGCTCCTCTGTGAAAAACTACCAGCTAAGTATTAGGACAGCACTGTGACGTCTCAGTCATGAAGGATCAGCACTGCTGAGTTCTCCCGGCACTATCTGTGTTGTGAGTCCCTGAGTGTGTAATCGACATGTCCGAGGCCACAGTTCATAGGTGACTGAGCCAGGAAGTCACCCCAGGAAGCTGGATCCACAGCCCATGCGCTGACTAAACCCTAGCTCCCTGGCCTTGGGGTCGACCGCGTGTAGCAATAACGAGGGAGGATCAGCAAGACTCCCATGGGGAGGGCAAGGAACTTCCAGGCCCACAGAGGAGGCCAGGAGCAGCTGCCACACCCTGGTGTTCACCTCCTCTGTGCATCCTCTCTGAACTCCTAGGTGTAAATTCCTTGCTTCTGCTGAGCCTACACATGGGAAAGCAGCAGCAGACAAAAGGAGAGGATTTAGCAGCTATTTTTCAGTTTTGGGTCTACTTGCTGAACACATCTTAACAGGCAATTTTTGTCAGCTATTTGAATTATTGCAAAATGTGTATCTTCAAAGGGTTTTATTACAGAGAGATGAAATTAAATGGAAGCAGCCTTTATGTTACCTTTCAAAATAATGCTTTAAAAGTAGAACTGACCAAGAAATACATGAAAAAATGTTCAACATCTCTAGCCGTTCGAGAAATGCAAATTAAAACAACCCTGAGATTCCATCTTACTCCAAAAAGAATAGCTGCTGTCATCAAGAAAACAACCAATAACAAGTGAGGCTGCAGGGCAGGGGGTGTGTGAAAAAGGAACCCTTTTCCATTATTGGTGGGGCCATAAACTGGTACAACCACTATGAAAATCAGTGTGGAGATTACTCAGGAAATTAAAACTAGGGGCTGGGGATTTAGCTCAGTGGTTCCATAGCCTGCCTCGCAAGCTCAAGGTCCCGAGTTCGATCCCTGGTACCAAAAAAAAAAAAAGAAATTCAAACTAGAAATTCCATTTGACCCAGCTATTCTCTTTGTAGGTATCTTTGCAGAAGAGTTAAAAACATTGTACCACAGTGATGTATCATACAATCTTTATAGGAGCACAATTCATAATAGGTAACTCTTAGAAACAGCCTATATGTCCATAAACAGATGAATGGATAAAGAAAACTGGTGTTTGTACACAATGGAGTACTAATCTGTCATAAAGTAGGATAAACTTGAGTCATCTGTAGGAAAATGGATATGCCTTGAGACCATGTTAAGTGAAGTAAATCAGACACACAAGCATAAATATTACACGTTTTCTCTTATATGAGAAACTCAATATATAAATAAAAAACAGACAGTAGGAAAAAAGAGAGAAAAAAGTTATTGTAATCCAGCATGGACAATGTATCTAAAAGTGTATCTTGATTGAGTATAATTGTCTTACATGTTTTACATGTTTTTTGGCCTGTTCGTCTGGCTGTCAATCTGTATGTATAATAATTAACTATAAAGATTTATAAATTAATCTGATGCCAGCCAAAAATATGGGGTAGAGGGGAAGGGAAAAAAAGGAATTGAGACGTGTGAGGTATGTTTACCTTTTATAATCATTATGTACTGCAAACATGTATTAGTAAAATAAAAAATTTTAAAAGGAATGCTTTGGGGCTGGGGATTTAGCTCAGTGGTTATGGCGCCTGCCTTGCAAGTGCAAGGTCCCAAGTTCGATCCCCCATACCAAAAAAAAAAACCCCCAAAACACCCCCAAAACAAATGCTTTATTTGGAAACTCTAAATGCCCCATAACAGGCACACATCCATGAGGAAGGGAGGGGTATAGCAGCCTTGACACATGGTGCTGCAGGAGCAGAAGGTGGTTAGGTGGGCATATGAGGCAAACACAGTCAGGTCCTGGTGACTACTGTAGTGTCTGTCTCTTTTTAAAGCAACACTATTGGTCTGCATTTTTTTTTCTAGTACTGAGATGGAACCGAGGGGTGTTCACCCACTGAGCTACATTCCTCAGCCCCTTTTCATCTGAAGACAAGGTCTTGCTAAATTGCCCAAACTGGCCTTGAACTTAGGATCCTCCTGCCTCGGCCTCCCGAGTAGCTGTCGTTATAGGAGTATGCCACCATGCTTGGTTTGATATATTTTATATACATATCCACATAATAGGAATAAAAGGGTACATGCCAAAATATTAAAAGAGGTTTTCTCTGGGGCTGAGGTGGTTTCTATACTAACTTTAGAATTTTCTTGCTCGCTTTGGCAGCACATATACTAACTTTAGAATTTTCCCTCTCAGCTTTTGTTTGCTGAATATTTACAATAAATATGGATCCTTTCATAATAGAGTTATTTAAAATTCCAGTGACAAAGAGGGGGTCTGTTCTCCCTACACTGCTTTGGGGTGTTCTCACAACAGCTGTGACAGGTTCTCAGGAGGCACCACCTCCTGGGTTCTCAGAGCCACCACAGAGCTGGCCAGTCACTCCCAGCTGTGCACGTCGAGGGCTCCGAGGGCCAACCTCATGGCCAGCACAGCGCGGGGCCTGCACCATCTTTACTCCTTTCTAGGAACTCTTATAGAAACTGTGTGTGGGGTGTGTGTCTGTATCACACTGAAAGTACACGATGTGGTCGGCAGATAAACATGTGCATGTTTTTCCTTGGGGAAATTACACTGGCATATTCAGTAGGACTTACTGAATGCATATGATGCATTAGCACTGCAAGTGCGGACAGGAAGGAGCTCCCAGTTCCTCCCAAACAACCCGTGAGGTGGGCAGCTTAGGACATGAGGGACTCCCTCAGGGCCACCTCTGTCCTATTTGGACATTTGGATTCAAGCCGAGTCAGCCTGTGTGTGGTACCCAGGTGCTTCACCATCACTTTTGGAAAACTAAAGGGCTCTTTTATTTTTTAAAGGTAGGTATTCCTTCATTGATCAGTTATGTGTTTTGGGATCTTTCCCCTAGATAAAAAGTATGCGTTGAAGAATATACTTCCTACACTACAGCTGTTTTTGATACAATGAGAAGAAGGGTTGAGAGTAGCAGAAAGGCTCCTGGCAGGGCCAAATGGTACCTTTAGAGCAGGTAATATTTAATATATTGGGTCAAAGACTTCAGATACACCCCACCAGCCCTAGAGGGCACCAGTGTGCCACTGGAACTCAGCAGTCCTCGGAAGAAGGACCCTTCCATTTAAGGATTAAATGTTAACAGTAACAGGCTGGGCATGGTGACACACACCTGTGACCCTAGCTACTGAGAACCCTGAAGCAAGAGGGCTGCAAGTTCAGGGTAACTTAGACCTTGTCTCAAAACACATTGAAGTTTGGGATGCAGCTCAATGGTAGAGTGCCTGTCTAGCAAGTGCAGAGCCCTGCAGTTGATCCCAAGGACCAAAATTATCTCCCTCCCAAATCCAGAACACAATCCCTTACTGCCCCTCTCCTCCAATACCAAAGCACACGTGGATTCTAAGCTTCTGGGGGTGGTTCTCTGGAAGGCACGCTCTTCATCTGTGAATGTGCTGGCCTCAGTGAAGCATCAGTTTGCAGGGTGACATCAAGGGCGCCTCCACCTAACTTCACCTTCAATAAAACCTCTTTACATTAACACACTTTGTAGTAAAGTCAGTAAAACCACTCGATGACATCTGCTAAGTGAGTGCACGTGAACCTGAAAGCCAGCACAGAAACCACGATAACAGCCTCCTCATCGACAGAGGAACAGAGAGCCAGGGGCCACAGGACACATTAGGGGCCTGTATTTCTCCTAGGAGGAGGCATCTGAGTGTGGGGTGGGTATACTAATACTACAAAAAAAGTTTTTTATTTTTTTCAGTACTTGGTATTGAATCAGAGGTGCTCTACCACCTATCCTCAGCCTTTAAAAAAAGTTTTATTTTGGGACAAGGACATGCTAAGTTACCCTGGCTGCCCTTGAACTTGGCAGTTTTCCTGCCTCAGCCTCCCCAGTGCTGGGATCACAGCATCATTGTATCTGGCCACCCAATCTTTTTGGTACTGGGGAACTGAACTCAGGACCTTGCACTTTTGAGGCAGGTGCAGTGCCACTAAGCTAAATCTCCAGCCCCCAAACTTTTAACGTATAGGGCATCTCTAACAAGTAGAGCCATGTCATTGCTCCCTACCACTAGTCTGCTAACCAATCAGAAAGCAGACATTGCCTACAGGACCACCAAGCAGCTGGACAGCCAGCACTCCACTGGCCAGCACGGTGACTACCAGCTGCTGAAATAGGTGTTCCTTGCTGAAGTGCAAATTTAGGATATTAATTTTCAATCTTCACAAATAAGGCAGTGAAGTCGCAATGCAGCTTGACTTTCAAAATAAGATGCTGGGTGGCCGAGTCAGTATTGACATGATTTCTGCTTCCATAACATGCGCCACTCACTCCATCAACAATGACACTCGAGTCCAATTTTCCAATGTGCACTATGTACTTTTCTGCCTGGAGGTTGTTACTGCTGTTTCTCAGTGCACCTGATTTCATGTGAGCAGAAGGTTGAGCATCTGAAGAGTGGCAAATTTTTCCATTTTGTCCTATGTCTCATCCATGTCACACAAGGGGTAAATTGTACTGATGAGTGAAAGAGGATGCGCTCAATAGGAAATCAAAACTATGAGTTTAGGGACAATGATCTAGTCAAGTAGCTAAGTGAAGGCAGCACTGAAAGGTCATTAGTTTGTTTCTGAGGTTTTTTTCCCCTCCTCAAAATTATCCCCTTAACACTTTTATTAGAGGACCTGCCTTCCTCTCTTTAAACTGAAACGATAAAGTGATTTTACCAGTCTCGGGTTCTGGTCCCTGCTCTGGTGCAGCTTCGGACAGGTTCTCTGTGAGGCGTCCAGTGTCCATGTGGGACAGAGCTCTGCGTGTCCCGCAGTCAGTGGGGACACGTCCGTCCCCAGGGCCCAGCTTTCCCAGAGGTTCCTGGCACGATGATAACCAGAAGGCGCTGTTAATAGCTTCTAGGTTTTCTGCATCATAAGACTCTAGCATCTATGGAGGTGAGCCAGCATGGGAAGGCTGAAAGGGCCCTGAACTAGGAGCCAGAAGGTCTGGCTCTGGAAATGGCATGGTCTTGTCACTCTTCCCCAAGCCTCAGTTTTCACGGCTTTAAAATGGGCATAAGACTCGCTTGATGTTACTCATAGTTTTAAATAAAATAGGATTAAATAAGGATAGCTATAATAATAGCATATAGAAGGCCAGCTAGACGGGCGTTACTATTGTTGTAATACTGCACAGCAATATCCAAGACTATAAAATCAACCCCTTAGTTTGGTAGTGAGGGAGAGAGTGACTCTGGATAAATGAAACTGACATTTAATATTTCAAGATTTCCCTTAGGCCAAGTGTCAATTCCTTTATCTTCTTTCATCTAATACTCATTGCAAAACTTTAAAAAAAAACTTGCTAAAAACTTAAATCGGATTTATTTGAAATTTATCCATTGAGTTACTGAGTTACAAAGTGGCCCAAAGGTAGCAGCGAGGTGAGAGGTGAAAAGTATAATGTATCTTTCAGCAACTCATCAAAAAAAAAATCTTTTCAGAAAATGTCTCTTACTGGCTGAGAGAAACCTTGATAGGGTTTAACTCAGTTAATTTTCTGCTTACCAGTCAGGCATAAATGTAATATAGGACCAGCCAAAGAGTACTGTATAGAACTATAGAGAGGTCATGTTTGCCCTGCACTGTGAACAAACTAAGTGCCACTGAATCGTGCACTTTAATATGGTAAATTTTAAATACATTTCACCTCCATAAAAGGTATTAAATAAAAACAACAGAAGGGCCGGGGATTTAGCTCAGTGGCACTGTGCCTGCCTCACAAGCACAAGGTCATGAGTTTGATCCCCGGAACCAAAACCAACAACAAAAACCCCAATAGAAAACAACCCATTTATTAGAAGAGAAAGGTTTTTTTTCCTGTTTTCAGCTAGTAATATTTGAAGATACTTTGTAGCAATGCATTGTTTCCTTTTTCATATATAAATAGAATAAAATTTTGGCAATAAGATTTTTATGAGAAAATTCAATTCTTTTGTATAAAAGTTTTAAGAGAATACAAAATCAAAATTGCAGCAGCTCTTTTTTTTTTCTGGTACCAGGGATCGAACTCAGGACCTTGCGCTTACGAGGCAGGCACAGCACCCAGCTATATCCCCTGCCCCTACTCTTATTTTTAATAGCTACAAATGATTATAAATAAAAACCTCAATTGGGGCCCTTTACAGTTATCCAAAACTTGTTGAGGATGATAATTTATTTATAAGTAGGAATGTACCCTTTGGTTGACCATTTTATTATAAATCACCTGCTGGGTGGAGGTAAAATGATTTTTGAGGAAGGGAAAAAAAGATATACATTTCTATTTTTTTTAAAAAAATAAGATTGGAAAAAAGGTTTCTTCTATACTATTTATAACTTTTCACACTCTGGGTCTATTTACACGTGTGTTTATATAAACCACTCGAACACGTCCACTCACACCTTCACACATCTTTGCTCAGACACAGAGACTACTTATGTTGAGCAGACTGCAAACAACAGGAGTTTCTCTTACTCTCTCCTCCGAAGAGGAGGCATACTGGAATTTTAAAAAAGGACAATCAGGTAATTCTAACATACTTGTAACCAAGTGGTAACAAAAGTAACTCGCCTTTGACACGGTGCATTGTAAGTTTCTAAGCAAGAGAATCCCCCCTTATTTCATGAGCTACGACAAGGGTCTGAGTAGTTATGACTACACACAATCACTGCACAAATTTGGAAAAATTAAGGGTTACTCATAACCTTATCAGCCGGCAAGAATCACTGTGAACATTGTGAACGTCTGACTGACCAAGGCAGACACTGCCACACCTGTTTCATAGTCCAGCAAACAGGCTCAGAAAGACTCAGTAACCTGCATAAGTGGCCACTCTACTAGTGCCAACTAGCCAGCAGAGAAGCTTGCACCAGGCCCAGGGCTTTACTTCACCATGCCACGCTGCTTTCCCACTGCCAGAGGGCAATTACATCTTCAGCTGAATGATCTTATGACCAAGAACCTGCCAGCAGATTAACAGGCTCCTAATAAATGAATGACTGTTGAAGATGATTTCTGATCTCCAGCCTTTCTGGCAGACTAGCCTGTGCCTTCCGACAGACCCCACGTCCACTCACACCACGATCACTCCGATTCAACTGAGGAAGTCACTTACCTTCTCTGTGGTTCCATCTTGCTGAGGATCAGGGACGGTCTCGCCAATGAGAGTAGCTCTGACATTCAAGTCCTGACCACACGGTTGATCGGCTCTGCCCGTCAGGGCCGCTGTCTTGGAGCTGCTGAGCCCAGCCTCTGCCGTGGGCCTCTTGCAGCAAGGGGTGACCTTGGCCACTGGTTTGTGCCTGGACACCAGGTCTTCACTCTTCTGCTTGGGAGAAACAGGGTTCTCCGTGCTCATCACACCCTGGGTGTCTATGTGGACTCTGTATTCCAGTTTGGGTGAACTCCTGGATCCTGACAGTTCCTTTCTTCCTGAGCTTCCAGGGCCACTCTTGGGGACCCTGCCAGCTGCCTGGAAAGGAGCAAGCACCACTGGCACGCTCCCCTCCAAGTCCAGGGAGCTGCCCAGGAGCGGCACGGAGGAGGCCTTGCTGACCAGTGTTTTCTGGGGTGGTTCCTTTTGCTTGTTGCCCTCTATAGTCACGGAGATGTGCCTGGCGCCATCCTCTGACAGTGGCCTGCCAGGACCTGGGAGGGCTCCTGGGAGTGAAATGCAGTCTCTCTCTCCATCAAACTCTTCCTCATCACTGGCATCATTGGCATCATAGCAGCCCACTTTCCTCTGGCGGAGGAGAGGATTCCTGAGGGCCTGCGGGCTTCCAGGGAGACTGGCTTGTCTGGCAACCGTCACCTGCTTGTGGAAGAGTCCAGAGGCCCACTGGCTTCCGAGAGACATGAGGCTATTGGCCCTGGCTTTTTCTGGCTCCCTGTGAGCTGGGGGTGGGGGAGACAGAAAGACAAGTCAGATGAAATTGAGTAGCACATCTGGCCCAGTCTTACAATTTAGCCCCATCATGACACGAGAGTATTTCCACATTCACAAATGCCAGACACACAACTGCCGGCTGCTGGATGCCATGCTTAAGTACTATGATGCCTTGGGATATGTACAGGTTGGACAGCAAGCCTCTCGCTCCCTTTTTCCTTCTGGTTGCGGTAATTTAAATGGTATGTGGTTTTCAACATGCATGTTGTCTCACATACTGGTGGGTCCAACCTAAATGCTGCTGCTGAGAATTCCTCTAGAAAGATGGGACCAATGTCCCATCTCTAGAAAGATGTGTCCCACAGCGCTGGCCCTTCATCACCTGAGGTCCCCCTTCATATGAAGACTGGGCTTGAGCAACAGGCCTATCAGTTTTTGGAGCATGAGCTTTCTACTTCTCAAAGCTAAAGCTACCAATGGAGCCAAAGAGGGGAGAATGTGTAGGTTGCTCTGCAATCTCTAGATCCTGCTATGTGAAAACTCACACAGGCTCACACCTTGAAGTGTATCTGTTAGAGGACAGAGCAGGCTCAGCAGTGGCTCCAGATGAGTCAGGACTATTACGGCCCTCCTAAGAGCAAGGGATTTTCTTTTCCTTCCTTCCTTTTTCTTCATTCCCTTCCTTTCCTTCCTCTCCTTCCCTTCCTTCTCTGCCCTCCCTCCATTTCCTCCCTCCCTCCCTTCCTTTTCTCCTCTTCCTTTGTCATTTTCTTTTAATGTGGTGCTGATGAATTGAATCCAGCACCTGGAGAGTGCTAGGCTAGTGCTCTACCACTGAGCTACTCCCTTCTTGTTCAGACGTTAGAAACCTTGCCAGCAGAAGTCTGAGAAATCCGCATGGTTCACATCAGATTATCACTTCATCTTGAGTAATCAGGGAGACAAATAAAAACTTTAGGATAATATCTGTCTCTCATGCATTCTGAATCTTTCACTTACTGCCTTCTAAAAAGAGTGAAGTTAGGGCCCTGTGAGGGAAGGGAGCTAGATTTGGTTGAGATTCTCTAATAGGTGAGGACCTCAGGTTTCCCACCATGATTTGATGCCATGAGATCCAAGACTGCACGCTGTGAACCGCCGCACCTAACGAGAATGCAGATTTGCCACCTTCACCATCTGGGAATGCACGGGGTGCCCAGCCTGCTCCTTGCCTAACTCAAGGGGCCTGTCATTCAGAGTGGCTGCATCTCCCAAGAGTAAACTCTGCTTTTGGTCAGGGTAGAAAGATGGCATCTACTCAGCCAGCGTCATGGATTCTTTCCAGTTCTCTTTTCCTATTGCAGTATCAGGAAAGCTAAAGTATGGAGGCCTCCAGCAGAGAGGTGGAAACCAGTGCCCAGGGCCCTTGGGGCTTCTTGCTTACTGGAAGTGCTGAGAGTCAGGCTGCTGTCCTCGGATGTGCTGCAGCCACTGCCTGCATGATCCTCGTCCTCGGAGCCGGCCACCATAAAGTCTGACAAGGAGCCCTGGGCATCATGGGCAAAGTACTGGGAGAATTCAGAATCAGAAATAAGGGAGTCCTGTTGGAGAAGAAAACGTTGGATGTCTCTGCTTTCTTGGAAGAGGTACCAGAGTTTGAAATAGTAATCACTCCCCATCTTTCCAAGAACACTTAGTTCTTCTAATCCACGGTCATGCAAAACAGCTTTGATAGTAAGCACTCATCTTCCTTTACTTTCGGATGGTTAAATGGGAAATTAATGACTAAAAAGTTGACCTTTGCTGCCAGATCTTGTTTTGAGAGGTTTTTGGGGGGCCACAGTTTGGCAAGGATCAGAAAAGCTGCAGCAGCACTTTATCAGCCATCCTAGGAAAACACTGGGGGAAGGGATAGGAAGATAGGATAAAATTCCTAGCCAAATGGCCTAGCTGGCTGATGAAACAGAGGAATGGGAGTTTGAGTCCCATGCCCTGACCTAGCAGGATTTAGGAATTCCAAGTCTCCTTAGTTAAATATTCCTAAAAACTTGGGCCTGCTTTATTATGCAATAATTTAAGAAGTTGCTTTTCAAACCACAGTTTGTTTTTTTTCTTTCTGTTGTGCTCCTCTTTTCCTGAGTGAATATTTAATAGGAGAAACACATTTGGGTATTCTCAAATTAGCATAGTTGCTATTTCCTGTATAAAGGGGCATAAAGGACTCATAGGCAGAAATATGTGCTGGGTGGGCACTCAAGCTTGCTCCCGGGATCACGTGGTTGAGCCGAGTTAGGTAGATAGCAGTGTGTCTTACCTTTTTGGCAAGAGAAGGACTCTTCAAGGGGGTACCTATAGGGGGAAAATTCACCATATTATCAAAATGATGAGCTAAAATCACAAGCAGGCTCACATACTTAACCAGAAAGGGAGCAGCCAAGCATATTAAACCAAACCTCCCTTTGCTTGAATGGCACTGATGAGCTGGGTGTGCTGGTAGAGGCGCCCTTGGCTACCTGGGTACCTGACCCCATCCCATCCCACCTTCCAAGACTGCTCATGCTCCAAGCCTCTCATGACCTCAGTTGGAAGTAATATCTTTTTTTGAATTTCCAAAATGTTTGATATACCCACATGTCAATTTCCAATTCCATAGGACAGTGTAATGATTGAGTGGTTATATCTCATCTCGCTTCCTCAATGTACAGATCAGAGCTATGGGCTAATCTGACCCATGGGGCTGGGCAGTGAATGTGCTGTCCAGTAAGTGCCCAGTGGTTTGCCAAACAGATTGTAGGATGGCAAATGAACACCGTCCAGGAGACCATGAAAGAACTGGGGAGAGGCTTGCACAGCTATTTCAGTTTTTAAAGGATGAAAAGTACAGTATTTAGACTTTAATTTCTATGCCATGAGCAAAAAGGATTTAAGGCATGAGGATCATGGCATAATAAAATCTTTTCTAGCTGATCAGTGGAGATGTTAGGATTAGGAGAGCACAGCTTTCAGGCAGGGCAGGATAATGAATAGGTGAATAAAGAGCCTATTATGGCCTAGTCCACTTTAAATATATTAATTATGGATGCAAATAATCAAGGTTTTTCATGGTTGCCAAAAAAATCCTATGCCTTCCCTCTCCTCTGACAATCAGTAACTCATATCATAGCTCCTTTTCCTCTGGGACATCAGTCAGAACGTCAGCAGAATCTCAAACTCAGAAACATTTGCAGAGACTTTTACGGTTCCATGCCACAGGAAGCGTAAGATTTAAAACTCAATGTAATATTTAAAATCCATATGAAAATCCTTCAATCTCAATCCTTCCCTGCCTAAACTTTGCTACTTAAAGGGAAAATCACGACTTTAGCTGCCTCCATTCCCCTCTCTGCATTGACACTTTTTAATTCATATAAAGAAATCTCAGGCTTTTGGATGGATAATACTCTGCATCTACCAAATTTCTCATATTTGGTATCATTTCACTTTTTATCTATAGCATTTTAGATGAATTGTGCATAAATACATGAAATGCTCTTAGCTCACTCTTGCAAATTATTTGAAAGTGGTGTAAGAAGCATGCATGATTAGATCTTTAATGAAGTGCATTAAATAACTGCAGAAATCAAAAGTAGCAACCAAGAGAAAGTATAGACTCTCGCTGACAGCCACTTTCACCAACCCTGATAATTACAATGAATCCAGTACAGTTGCAGCGGGTATACCCCATGGGTGAACTTAATGAGAAACTCTACTGAATGTTGAATGAAAATGTGCAATTACAGTACCTAAGCCAGGAAAGGAATTGGCCTCTTTGCTCTCCTGGTAAGTGCTGCGTGCTATCACTTCATCCATTTCCTGCTCGGAAACCTGATTTTCAGCAGAAAGCACAAATTAGATGGTTGCATTTATTTATTTTCTCTTCAAGAAAAGTAGCTAAGACTAGAGTCAAAGTTGAGTGCAGATAAAGAGGCAAACCACAAGATCAAATATTACAACCATCCTCTGAAGCAATAACTCAGGACATGTAAGTACAGCTAGGTTAATGGATGGCTTCAAACAACATACACACGAGACCATCAACTCGTCCCAAGTCCATTAAGCAAAGCATTCAGGGGCTATGATCACCCATGACACGGCTGGTATCTGCTTCTTTCTAGAACATTCACTGCTTTCACTCACTTCTAATTTTTTTTTTAAAATGGTACTGGGGATGGAACCCAGGGCCTCACACATGCTAGGCAAATGCTCTACCACTGAGCCACATCCCTAGCGCCTAATTTTTTAAAAATTAAACTTCACAATAGTTTTAAATCTAAAAAAAAAATGCAAGAGCAGTACAAGAATAACATACTCCTCACCAGACTGGCTTTCTTTTCTTTTGCAGACCTAGGGAGTAAATGCAGTACTTTATCACTGAACTCCACTCAGCCCTTTAAATTTTATTATTATTATTATTATTAGCTCTTTTTATTTTATTGGCTGATGCACTGTGTACTGGAGATTGAACCCAGGGTCTTCCCACTGAGATACATCCCCAGCCCTTTTATTTTTTATTTTTGTTCATTTATTTTTATTCCAGAACTGGGGATCGAACTCAGGATCATGCGCTTGCTAGGCAGGTGTAGCGCCACTGAGCTACATCCCCAGCCCTTTTTTATTTTGAGACAGGTACTTACTAAGTCACTAAATTGCCCAGGATGGGATGGAATTTGTGATCCTCCTACCTCAACTTCCTGGGGAGATGGGACTGTAGCCATGAGCTAACAACTGGTTAGATTTACTAACTTTTTTTTGTTTTTGTTGGTACTATAATTTTTTCCCCATTGAGTTTATTGGTACATTTTAGGTATAAAATACAGTTACATTCATCAACGGGATCTTGTACCATTACATGAGTTTCTTGGTTCTTATATTTTCCCCCTTCCCCTGTCCTCCCTTCACCCTCTCCACCATTCCCTATTTGCAAAGACTTTGTTTCCATTTTTTCCTTTTCTCATATTTTTTCTTTTTCCTTCTTTCCTTTCCCCTACCCCTCCCATTTCCCCCACTCCTTTAGACCATTTCTTCCTATTATACGTTTTAAAAATTACAATATCAAGATCTAGAAGACATTACCACAGACTTTACAGAATTTAAAAGGATATAGAAAGCATATTACAAAAATCTTGTTTGAAATAAGTTTGACAACTTCTAAGAAGTACCTTGGAAGACAAAT